TTGCCTTATGTCTGTTCTAGAGACATGTTACAGCTTCTTGATAAAGCTCTAATTGGTTTTCTTTTGGAAATATGTTTCAAACGCACACTGAATGCATTTATGACTGTAAAGCATGTCTGTGTGTCAAAATCCTGATTAAAATCGAAATCGCAAAATTGATCAAAGAAATGGCGATAGGTTTTTTTTGTCCATATCGCACAGCCCTAATCACGGTCTGTACCTTCATCCAACCTTTCTTGCTCTTTATCTCAAACTAACCATGAGCTAAACTAAAAAAAAAGTTACTAAATTCAAAGACAGTCTGGGCTGTTTGGGTGGATTAAATTCAAGAGTGAAAGCTGCCAAAATCACCCAGAAAAGTAGACAAAGACCCGACACAAACCACTTTTCTAACCACTTTTTCAAACCATTTTTCATAGACGAAGCAAAAACGGGTTTATGAATTCAGCTGCACAGGCTTATTTTGTCTGATACACTGTATCTGACATAAGGTCTGGTACGGTCTCAGATTATACACGTTTGTTTCTACTAAAGTTCTTTATGACAACATTAGGATGAAGGTCTAGAGGTCAGATATATGAAAAGGTATATCTCTTTCTTAAAGGGATAGTACCCAAGATTCTTGTAGTTGAGCCACTGATGTCACATGGACTGTTTTACCGATGTCCTTACAACGTTGACCGACCTGGGAACATTACAGTTGCGTTGCTGTCTATGCAGGGTCGGAGAGCTCTCACATTTCATCAAAAATATCTTAATTTGTGTTCCGAAGATGAACAAAGGTCTTACGGGTTTGGAACAACATGAGGGTGAGTAATTAATTCATTTTGGGGTGAACTAACCCTTTAAATGCTAGTCTTTGCAACACTGTGTGAAACAACACCGACCACGACACATTTTCCATTTAATCTGCACCAAATGCAACAAAGAAATTAGGATGATGCAGGTCATCTAAGAACAGCATCTTCCAAGAAATATGAACCACAGTATGTATAAATTACATTTAATATGCAACAATATGCATGATAGACCGATTTTATACACCCTTGAACCACCACTGTGGAGAATAAAGGAGAAACCCTAATATCACAAAAGCAGATGCATATCGGTTTAGTCTTTACATATTAATAGCCACACAAATCAATTGTATACATATGAATGTTTTGATACTGCTATGAAATATTAAATTGCTTATTGCCCCTTATAATAATCGTATTTGTTTAGTATCCAAAACTGAGAAAGATCAATGGATTACGAACCGGACAGAAACATACAAATATGGCCTACTGCATTTGTACATAGTCACTGCTTAAAACAAACAAGACGTACAAATGAGCATTTAAGACACACATTTGTTAAAAATGATATTTAATTACAGAAAAAGCTCCCATAATGGGTATTTTCAGCATTTTACTCAGCTTGCTAAAAGAAGCCCTGCAAACAAAGGGTCAAACAGGCAGAGCCGTTAATACGCTAGGCTACCAGCGAGGGCTCTTTCATTCAAATGGGACACAAACACTAGAAATGTAATGCTTATGTTGACAGGGTAAGTGCAGGAACCGTGGATTAAGAGCCATGTGAACTCAAAGGTAATAGCCGGGTTATGAAACATCACACACTGCCTACAGATACACAAACAGCAGCGGCGGCGCCTGCATGTGTCCAACCCGACAACAGCTTTGTTCGCGGCTCCCGTACAACACCCCTAACCCCACGCACAGGAATTAAACCGCTACAATTTAATTAAAATAATTAATATATTACCATACGAGCTGCCTCTGCCCACGTGCGCTCCTTCTTTCTCTTCTGTTTGTCCTTCATTTCCTCAGCGTTGTCGCGCGGGTGCGGATTTCTGCAGCGGATATGAAACGTGTGCGTGATATACGGCAAGCCCGCTAGCGTGCTAGGCTAGCTGCAAAACCAAACAGGTCTTTGATTCCCTTTCGCCTCAAGTACTTGCGTAGTCGCTCTGCTCAAACACGCACGCGTTTCCGTAAAACTGCTCGCCCCCCAAAAAAAGCGATCGGTTATTGCAGCGGCGGCGTTCCAGAGAGTTTTTGTAACGTCTCGAGGGTTAAATAGAGGTAAACAGAGACTGGGCGAAGAACAGGCGATCCCCAGCAGCCTTTGGCATACTGCAGGAAGTCCTCAGTTTGGAATGCAAGACGAGGAGAACACAACAACGAGGTCAAAGGTCAAACACACTGCAGGAATGCAACACAAAAACAATTCTCCCCATCCCCCTCTTCTTCAGTCGCTCCCACAGCCGCGGCTCATCCGACGCATTTGACGGGATGAGGCCACGCCCATTTTATGTGCGGCGAGATCAAACGTGATTCGTATTGGGCAGCACGACACATACATAAAAACACTCGAATTATAGTTTTTTGTGCTTTGTAAAGTTTCTCAGTGGATTTTTACAACACAAAACAATCTCACACTTATCAAAGCGTTATTTAAATTAAAGACAGCAAAAAACACTGCCTCAGCAAGTAAATAGTCCTACATGCAAATGAAAATACAATACGTGCCGTTGATGAAATGGATCTTAACCAATTTTAACAATAGTTTTCTAGTTAAATAAGGATTGTAATTAAATAATCATGTTTTAAATATGGTAGCTGTATTGACATGTTTTACATACTTTTATGGAGCTTTGACAGAACCATCTTTCTGGTGCGACTTAAAAACCGTATGTCGTACATTAAGCAATAAAAAACAAACAAACAAAAAAAAACCGTATGTCTCTTAACCAGTCATGTAAAATTTTCACATGAAGTCCACTCTTTTATTTATAGTTGACTATAAAACCATGTTTATAAATCATAAATGTTGCCAGAAATATTAAATGGGTTAAGAAATCTTGCTTAAATGAGTTTCCAAACAAAGTCCCTTTTTAGGACTTTTATGAATTTCTAGTGTTTAACTGAGGTGCACCTAGGACTTTTATTTTGAAAAGCTTGGTGGGGAATCACCGGAAAACATAACTGAAATAAATATATCTCGTTTTAAGGATTGTTTTTGTGAATAAGGAAATGTTATCTCAGAGTTGTCTCTTTTTTATTGATTGTAATATAATGAATATATAAAATAATACAGCAAAGATCATGTTCATGTTTGAGACACTGCGGGGCTTTTGATAAGCGCCATCTTTGTTCGGGGCAAAGATGCCTAAAGTTGTTCTGCATTTAATTGCACAAATAGGTACAATAACAAAAATCCTGAAATCTCGTTGCACATGTAGGTAATGATAGACAGCTCAATGTCAAGATGATATTAAAAACACCCTCAATGTATTTTGCAAGACGTTTCACCTTTATCCCTCGTCAGGTTCCCTTTCAGTAAACCGTCGGTTCTGAAACAATGGTTAGATAACATTGGACTTTCACGACTTCCAGCCAATGAAGCACATGGTTATCTGTTCACTTCATTTCACCCCAGATTGTTTCAGTGGTTTGGGCAACCGTAAAAATCTGTTGTGGAACGCAGTGCCAATTCTATTTGCAGTCCCACTTCAGGACACAAAGGTAAATAAGGTCTCAGTATAGATGAAAAAAATAATACAAAATGTGTTTTTCATCTTAGTCTCACTGTCATCTTTGTGCCGTCAGCAAAGTAATTCTAGGAAGAGGCTGAAGAGAGCTTTAAAATCTGCTGCTGATAAATGGGATGGTACTGCACCTGATAGGACGCCTCCTTTCACTGAAGAGATGCATGAGGATGCTCAACACTCACACAGCAACGAAGAGGCTTACTGTCAAACCACAAAAGTCAATCTTTCATCTTACAGTCTACTCTCATATTTCGGTGTGTATATATTAATAGTTATGGATTAAATGTTTTTTTTTTTTTTTAAACAGGATTTAGCTGCCACAGACCACACCTATGCTCTTTTGGATCCATTCACGACCAAAGACCGTCTGTTTAATGTTTTAGATGCCAACAGCTGGCTACGGAAAAGGTTGCAGACCAAATGCAGATTGATAAAAAATAATGAAATTTAAACTGCAAAATACTCAAAGAGAACTTCTAACTTTGAGTCGACAACTCAGATATAGACATACACATCGCCAAAGACATTCACAGCTCCCTATACAGTGTGAAAGTGGCTCAGAGATCTAGTCAAACAGTAACGAAGACCTCGGGTTGCACAAACATCTTTGAATTTTAAGGAAGCCTTTTGGTCATGGAAAATGTGTTCAACAAATGTATTTCCTGAAAATGGGCAAAAGTGACAAGTTTTTTTCTTTAAAGGTGCTGTATGTAGGATTGACACCGAGTGGTTGAACTAGGTATTGCAGTCTAAATTCAGGACTTAGCATGTTTCTTAAATGCCTGCAAACATATTATGGTATTTTTATGCTTTAGTAGAGTCAAGAACTTACATACAGCACCTTTAATTGGACAGATATGTCCAATTAAAACGTACATTTACTGTGCTTTGGTTTTGACTTGTATGAAAGATTTTCTGCCCAAAGATTTTGTAGAACATTTATAGAATAAATGGTAACATGTTACAGTAAGGTTCCTTCTATTAATCTTTGTTAACATTAGTTAATAAAAATATAAAAGTTCATTGCTAGTACATGCTAGCTCAGGTCTATTAAATATTAATAGATAAAACTTCTGATTTTAATAATGTACTAATGAATGTTGAAATTAACACAAACTATGATTATTAAATGCTTTTAAGCTCATGTTAACTTCTGTAGTTAACTAATGTTAAATAGAACCTTATTGTAAAGTTACTGATTAAATTATATAAAATGTCACCTGCTTAAAACATTTGAGGAAACATTATGTAAAGTTTGCTCTATTTTTAAAATAAAAGTCATGTACACCATTCAAACACAATATACAATTCCATTGTTCCTTGATGATTTATTTTAAAAATGACAGTCTATACTTGCTGCAAATGGTAGGCCATTAGATAAAGTATAACAAACACCTTTGAACAAACCGATACTCCAGCCATCAATTATAGATTGTCTTTTTTTTTTAACATCATTCAAATGGCAAGTGTGCAGAATGGACACATTTCATATAAATTATACTTCTCAAAAAGGAAAAAAAAAAATCCATACAGCCAGTCTTTTAAATAAAAGATTAATCATTTACCACGACAAATGAATTTTCTTGCATACAGATCCCAAATACCAAAAAGGCAACAAAAAGTTTTAATCAACCAAAGACTGTAATGGGGGTTTAGATCTTCCATGTATGAATTATGGCACTAAAATGCAGTGATAAAGGGAGATTGAGCCTAAAATATAAACAGAGGACATTCCACTATTATCCCTTCATCCACTGCTATTCAAGTCTTTGGACACAAGGTGGGAGACTAGCCCTACATGAGATTTAGTATACAGTTCACATTCTGTTTCCTCAACCAGCACGCAATAGACAGTACCGGCATATTGTGTGCATTGGCCCCTTCAATTCCTATGAAACTGCTGGCAGACGTGAAGTACGAGAGGTGGGCCTCCAAATATTAGACTCAAGGGATTGGGATGAAAGAGAAAAATAATGCAAATGATTAAGCAGCCAGGGTTTTACTAAGAACATGCTTTGCATCCTGAACATTTGCAAGATCATTTATTTGGAAGCTGGTGGTACAAAAAGTCAGATATAGAAAGAAGGCTGACAGCTGGGTTACACCAGCTCCTGTGGGATTCAGTGAGTAGGATCAAGCAGCAATGTTTTCTCTGTGATGTAATGAGGGTAAAATAGCTCTTTCTGCTGAGTGCTGATTACAGGCACCGTTGTGGATCCATATTTGAGGAAGGGGGCCTTTGTTTAACTTTTTCTGGGAAAGGGTATTTTTATTCATGGAAATTCAGCAAATTAAATGTTCTAATTTGAAAACAGACATCATGTAGAATAATTTTTAAAACCGCACAAAATAAAGGATAAATAGGTATATGAAGACTTTTAAGCGCACAGAGTGTTTCCAGGGCACTACTCCAGAACATCTGTGTCTCATCAGTCTATACCAGTCCAAACTGTCCCTTTCAGCTCAAGAGATACATGTTCCTAACTGTCATTATCAATCCTGTGGGCTACAAGGGAGAGGAAAGACAAAAGAACATGAGATTTTAAATTACAGTTGGGAATAGCATTCATCTTTACTGCTGGTAAACACAATTAAGTATTTGCCATCATGAAGTCAAGATATTATGTATTAAAATAAATGCTCTAAATCAACTGCAGATTGTTTTGTTTGGTTTGCATACTCACATTGTTTTGGTATCCTGAGTGCTTCTGTGTCACCACATAGAACTTGGTGCATCACACCTCTGAACTGATACAGCATCTTCAGACTCTTCTCCTCACCTACACAGGGGTCGTAGAAGCCCGGCAACCCAGCCTGAAGACATTCATGCAAAAACATCCAATTAATGCTTGCAACAGCATTTAACTTTAGGGGTGCAGCAGTTCAGTTTTCTCAGAGTTTGGTTTTTATTATCTTTCTGTTTGTTAAACATTTCATACAATACTATTAGAGTGCAACACTATGGCCAATATGTTGAGAATGACATTTTTCATTTCTTTTTTCTTTTTATAAGCATTAAGCTACATTTCAAAACTACAACATTTTTAAAATGTCAATATTTATTGGATATTAAGGAAACATACACTACTGTTCAAAAGTTTGGGGTTGGTAAGACTTGAAACTTTTTGAAAGAAGTCAAAAACATTTAGCTGATTTAGGGCTCAATAAACAATTCTTATTATCAATGTTGAAAACAGTTCTTCTGGTTAATATATTTGTCGAAATTGATACTTTTTTGATGAACAAAGTTCAAAAGAACAGCATTTACATGAAATTTTTGTGACATTATAACCGTCTTTACTGTCGCTTTTAATGAATTTAATGTATCTTTGCTGAAAGAATTTTCTTAAAAAAAAAAAAAAAGAAAAATCATGCTAACCTCAAACTTTTGAACTCTTGTGTCCTGTCATTTGCAGTTTCTTTTTCTTTTTTTCTTTCAGTACAGCAATACCAAAAATACATTTAATATTTCAGAAGCTTTGGAAGGCACTAACAAAACATTACAGGAAACATCAAAAACTAGATAAATCCTTTTAAAAATTCATTGCTGTTCTAATAACTTTCTACTCTCATCTTTTACTTGTCTTTTGGACCAAAACCAATTACAAAGCAAGCATAACTGTGCTTTACCTTAGAGGCTTCTGTGAGAATGAGCTTGGAGTCCTTCACCAGGCACTGTAGAGGCACCGTCACATCAATGACCCTTGCCCTTTCGTGCTTCCGGCTGTTGTCTGTCACAAACTTGCCATACCAGGCGTTGAGGATGATCAGACCTGGTACACAAGAAGACCGAGTCACCAAACCTCACTTGGCAGAAAGTTCAAATCACAGTTTAATCATGTCCAATGCTATCGGGAGTTATGCGGTCATACCCATTCTGGACTCCTCTGCTTCGATAATTCTACGCACAGACTCTTGCATCAGCAGAACCTAGAGAAAAGAGTGATTTCAAATAAGACCGCTTGTATATGCACATAGTGAAGGCACACATTTATCACCCTGGCACAGCAACTGATGTGCAGATTGGAACGATAGCCTGACACTAACTCATTGTTTCTCCGAACACAAAGAGCCTGCCGTGAAAGTTATGACCACTTTAAACGGCCATGCTTTATAAATTATTTGCAGTGTATTTAGACATTATGAACTCACAGCTGCTTCTGCCTCTTGCTTCTTCTTGGCAATGTCTGATGCCGAGCTCTCCCGCTGCTTCTCAATCTCCCTAAACAAAAGACGAAAGGTTCAATTTTAATTTACTCATTTGCTCTTTTACTCACAGTTTCAAAGCCATTTAAATGGATTTCAGTCTATTATTTTCCAGACTCACAAGGGATAAAGGTTGGAGAAGAGTGTTGGAAAGTCAACTGGCCAATAAAAGACAACAAAATGAAACAGGTGGAGAATGTCACTATGACTCTGCACATTTAATCAGCTAAAATGGCTTACTGTTCCTGCTGAGCACGAACGTAAGGTCTGATAACTAGCCGCTGGATGGCCAAGTAGAACACAAGGGGTCCGACAGTGGCATAAAAAACAGCGCTGGGTAGAAGCTGGTCTGTTAAGTGAATGGGGAAGAAGTACGTCTGGCTCGCTCGGTTCAACCTGGAATAGACAATACCACCTCGATTTCAGAGCTACTGAAAAACTTCTATTGGGAAACAGCATCAAAATGATCAAATGCATTTTACTTGATCTTGAGAGAGACGCCTTGAGGTACTCCAACACTGACGGTAGCGCCCAGGACACTGTGGCGACTGATCTTAGTCTCGGCACCATATTCCACCACCGTACCGAAAAACCCTGACCTGCAACACAAGTGCTGTTATTTTAAAAGGCTAGAAACAGAAAAATGAGAATCATTAAGACACTTGGTAGTGATCATCATAAGCCACGAATAAACTGCAGGTAATATGAATACAGAATCTAGTAGGGCTGTGCAATTAATCGCATGCGATTGTCATGCGCATCTCGTCAGTAAAGCCAGTTCCGTGATTAGAAGTAAATTTCCATCACCTGCTTTCAGATGGAGCAGCATTTACTACACAGAGCCGTAGTTCACTGACAATTAGGCAATATTGCGTTCATAATCGAATGCGATTCATCTGCGATTATGAACACGGTATTGCCTAGCTTGTCAGTGAACTACGGCTCTGTGTAGTAAATGCCGCACCATCTGAAAGCAGGTGATGGAGATTTACTACTAATCATGGAACTAGCTTTACTGACGAGATGAGCATGACAATCACATGCGATTAATTGCACAGCCCTTGAATCTAGGATATCAGACACAGATGCTGCATTTATACTGCAAGGACAAATACACCGATTTCCTGTTTATTTACATTATTTAGACCAGCTGACTTTAACAGTAAGTCTGTGAACCCTAGGAAGTCCATATAATATTTGATCTCAAATGTGAAATATGCAAATAAAAATACATGGCTAACCTAATTTAACTACAGCTCGAACCAAAGACTGTACCTGATTAAAATAGGATGTACAAATATGAGGAAAGGTGCATTTCAAAATGTATATGTGGTTCTCAATGTATATAATTACTCATTACTCATTAAGCATTTAGAGATCAGAGAAAGTTCATATCCGATTTAATCCAAACTGATGCAAACCATTTTTTTGCGGTTTACACATGCAAAAAGTAAAGATAAAATCTGTGCCAAACAGGGTGCTTGATAAGCAAAAAATTAAGCACAATGATAAAGTATAACAATGATAAGGAATTAGATAAAACTCCTCGATTACACCAAAAATAATGGAATGAATAATGTCCAAAAAACAAAAACAAATACAACTTTATCAATAAGTCATTATTTAAAATATTGTGCATAATAATACTCAAAGCTAATATTGGCTGACAAATTCTACTACGTTTTTGAACTACCTGTTTAAACTAACCATCTTTTTGGTTAAAAGTGCAAATGCAGCCAGAAAAAAAACCCTACAAGACATCTCTATGTAAAACACAAAAAAACAAAGGCAGCATCCACAGATACATACTTGACAGAGCCCTTGATCTTGGTCTGATCATCATCCTGGAATTTGTACTGGTAGCTCATCATGATAAATGTATGTGGAATTCCCAACTATGTCAATACAAAAAAGATAATGAACAATGGTTGAAAAAACCCCCCACTGGAATAAAGATCAGGGGGTGCTGTGCATAACAGCAACTGACCTGCACAGCGAAGGTGAAATGACTGCTTTTGGTGTCCCTGACGATGCTGGTGTTCATGGAAGACTGAGTTCCCCAGCGCCACTGTAAATAACCCATAGTGTTTTTGTCCAGGTGGCGTGCAAGCATAGTAGTGAGACCCGGCCGTATACCACGGGATGAAAACTGCATGCCACAATGAGCCGTAGTGAAGCTAAAAAACACAAATATATCTCAGTATACAATACACTGAATAGCATGCAACTTGCAATAAAAACAGTCAAAACTATTTTTTACAAATATAAATAAAGTAATAATAATAAAACTAAATTACTCAAACACCACAGAGATGTGCTGTACTCACCAGCGTGAAGTCAAGTTACGGAAAATCTTCAACCCGAAGAGAGGGCCATGTGTGTCTCCTGCCCCAAACTCAACCTGTATTAAACATGTATGAATCATGTACGGTTACATGCTCAGCAAAAATGATAATCCAGTCAACTATTATGTAAAGCATTAACTGAAAGCACTTACTTCTCCCCAGCCCTTAGCTGAGGTAACTCGTCGCAAGGCCACGTTTATGTTTCCTCCTCCATTGCCGTTGTGTGTGGAGAGAGAGCCAGAAAGAATGGCTGTGTCTGAGGTTGTCAAAGGGGCCTATGAAAGCAGAGATGGACAGTAAATAAGCCTTACGACTGTATTAAGATCAGGGTCAATGACTTATAAGTGTTTCCACAATATATAAAAGTCTCTTAGAAAGTTCTTTGAAATGTGCTTTTTTATATATTGGTTTCATGTTTTTTTTTTCTGAAAAAGTTTTGTTTTTAAGTTTGAATTTGATGGTTTAAATATTATTATATTTTATTAATTCTATTTACACTATTAATTCTACATATACACACACGCACATATATATTTTTTCAAAGTTTTTCAAAAAGTGTTTCAAACAAATACAGAGAATTGTGTGCATGAAATACCAAGTATTCACTGTATGTAAGTAATGCATTTTTAAATACATTAATAAATACAACAGGACAAAAAAAAAAAAAAGAGCATCATGTCATTGACCCATACACAGGAAGCCTATTTATATGTAAACACTTGCATTGTGCCCAATCATAACCTCATAACAAGGAGTTAGTATGTTTTTTTGTTTTGTTTTTTTAAAAATCTTTTTTAAAGCGGTCTTTCATGCTCACCAAGGCTGAATTTATTTAAACAAAATACAGTGAAACCCACAATATTGTGAAATATTATTAGTATTTTTTTATTTTTATTCTTATATATTGTAAAATCTAATTTATTTCCATGATGACAAAGCTGAATTTTCAGCAGCCATTACTCTAGTGTCACAGGATCCTTCAGAAATAATTATAATATGCAGATTTGTTGCTAAAAAACGTATTTATATAATCATCAGCTAGCCTACTTCTTAACCACTAAATATTGTAGAAGCTTAATTTGCTGTAAAGTTGCTTTTCAATGATTTGTATCGTGAAAAGCGCTGTACAAATAAACTTGAATTGAATTTAATTGAATTAACAGTTGTACTGCTTAAGATTTTTGTGGAGACATAATACTTTTTTTCTGGTATTCTTTGAAGAACAGAAAACTCAAAAGAACAGCATTTATTTGAAATAGAAGTCTTTTGTAACATTAACATTTAATTTAATGCATCCTTTCTGAATAAAAGTATTGACTTCTTTCAAAAGGAAATCTTACAGACTCATTCTTCTGAACAGTGTTGTGTCTATGAGAGTATACATTAAAAGAAACATGATGTAAGGACTGTACCTCTATTGACTGGGATATGTGCATCCTGTTGATCTCAACGTGCGGTAAGCCGCCGCCGCCACCACCACCACCAGAGATCTCTTCATAATCCTCCTCATAGGCATCAAAGAGGTCTGTCGCATCAATACCCACACTTATTGTCCCCTGAGTGAGACAGTGAACAATCAGCAAGACCTGTATTAATGATGACAGAGGCTGCTGCATTGAACGCATTAGGTCAAACCTTTGGGTTGGTCCTTTGCTGTAGTCTCCTCTCCTCTCTCTCTCTTTGAAGTCGCTCATATTCTTCACGGATCTCTGCTGGCGTTCTTTTCCTCTCCACTACCTAGAAATCATTATTGCAGTGAGCACAAAAAGATGACACAAAAGCCCACTGGGAAAATGATTTGCTTGAAATGTGACGAAACTATGGAACGAATGCTGAAGCATTTTTTAGTCTTCTGAATTACTGGGCGACCGATATGTGTTTTTAAGGGCCGATGCCGATACCGATTATTGTAGACCGATAACCGATTTTTGATAATTTTGAACCAATATGTCTGGTGTAAAAATTAAAATTAATGTCAAAATTAAGAATAACAAGGGATCTGACAAAAACTGCATTCACTGGTGTTGGTTGTACTTCTTACTCTTGTCTTCTTCCGTGCATCCATCTACAATAAGGGTAGGGCTGGGCGATATGGCCAAAAAAATTATCACTATAATTTTTTTCATATCAGTCGATATCGATAATTATCACGATAAATGTCAAATCTTTATTTCTTTCAAGTTTAAAGACAGATTTTTGCTCCAAAGTGAAAGTTGTAGAAACCAGACCATTAATTTCCCTTGACAAAATAAATATCTTAATATAAAAAATAATTGCTTAGTTTCTGCATGTTCTAATGAGTGATATTGTTTCAAATCAAGAAACAGGTTTGGGTTGCCTGATAATATTAAAGGGGTCCTATTATGCTTTTTCACTTTTTTAATTTTAGTCAGTGTG